TCCTGCTTGTTGCTGCTTGTTGCTCCTGTTGTCTGCTTGTTGCTCTGCTTGTGCTCTGCTTGTTGCTCCTGCTTGTTGCTCCTGCTTGTTGCTCTGCTTGTTGCTCTGCTTGTTGCTCTGCTTGTTGCTCTGCTTGTTGCCTGCTTGTTGCTCCTGCTTGTTGCTGCTTGTTGCCTGCTTGTTGCTCCTGCTTGTTGCTCTGCTTGTTGCTCCTGCTTGTTGCTCCTGCTTGTTGCTCCTGCTTGTTGCCTGCTTGTTTGCTCCGCTTGTTGCTCCTGCTTGTTGCTCCTGCTTGTTGCTCCTGCTTGTTGCTCCTCTCTGCTTGTTGCTCCTGCTTGTTGCTCCTGCTTGTTGCTGCTTGTTGCTCCTGCTTGTTGCTCCTGCTTGTTGCTCCTGCTTGTTGCTCTGCTTGTTGCTGCTTTGCTGCTTGTTCCTGCTTGTTGCTGCTTGTTGCTCCTGCTTGTTGCTCCTGCTTGTTGCTCCTGCTTGTTGCTCTCTGTGTCTGCTTGTTGCTCTGCTTGTTGCTTTCCTGCTTGTTGCTGCTGTGCTCTTGTTGCTCCTGCTTGTTGCTGCTTGTTGCTGCTTGTTGCTGCTTGTTGCTCGCTGCTTGTTGGCTCCTGCTTGTTGCTGCTTGTTGCTCCTGCTTGTTGCTCTGCTTGTTGCTCCTGCTTGTTGCTCCTGCTTGTTTGCTCCTGCTTGTTGCTCCTGCTTGTTGCTCCTGCTTGTTGCTCCTGCTTGTTGCTGCTTGTTGCCTGCTGTGTTGTTGCGTTCCTGCTTGTTGCCTGCTTGTTGCTCCTGCTTGTTGCTGCTTTGTTGCTCTGCTTGTTGCTCTGCTTGTCCTGCTGTTGCCTGCTTGTTGCTCCTGCTTGTTGCTCCTGCTTGTTTGCTTCTCCTGCTTGTTGCTCCTGCTTGTTCTGCTTGCTCTGCTTGTTCTGCTTGTTCCTGCTTGTTGTCTGCTTGTTGCTCCTGCTTGTTGCTCTGCTTGCTGCTCCTGCTTGTTGCTCCTGCTTGTTGCTGCTTGTTGCTCCTGCTTGTTGCTCCTGGCTTGTTGCTCCTGCTTGTTTGCTGTTCCTGCTTGTTGCTCCTGCTTGTTGTCCTGCTTGTTGCTCCTGCTTGTTGCTCCTGCTTGTTGCCTGCTTGTTGCTCTGCTTGTTGCTCCTGCTTGTTGCTCTGCTTGTTGTGTGTTGCGCTTGTTCTGTTGTTGTTCTCCTGCTTGTTTGTCTCCTGCTTGTTGCTCTGCTTGTTGTCTCCTGCTTGTTGCTCCTGCTTGTTCTGCTTGTTGCTCTGCTTGTTGCTCTGCTTGTTGCTCCTGCTTGCTTGCTGTTTGCTTGCTGTTGCTCCTGCTTGTTGCTCCTGCTTGTTGCTCTGCTTGTTGCTCCTGCTTGTTGCTCTGCTTGTTGCTCCTGCTTTTCTTGTGCTCCTGCTTGTGCCTGCTTGTTGCTCCTGCTTGTTGCTCCTGCTTGTTGCTCCTGCTTGTTGCTCCTGCTTGTGTTGCTGTCTCTGCTTGTTGCTGCTTGTTGCTCCTGCTTGTTGCTCCTGCTTGTTGCTGCTTGTTGCTCCTGCTTGTTGCTCCCTGCTTGTTGCCTGCTTGTTGTCTGCTGTTGCTGCTGTTCTCTGCTTGTTGCTCCTGGCTTGGTTGCTCCTGCTTGTTGCTCCTGCTTGTTGCTCCTGCTTGTTGCTGCTTGTTGCTCCTGCTTGTTGCTCCTGCTTGTTGCTCCTGCTTGTTGCTCCTGCTTGTTGCTCCTGCTTGTTGCTCGCTTTGCTCTGTTTGCTCTGCTTGTTGCTCCTGCTGTGCTCGTTTGCTGTGCTTGTTGCTCCTGCTTGTTGCTCCTGCTTGTTGCTCCTGCTTGTTGCTGCTTGTTGCTCCTGCTTGTTGCTCCTGCTTGTTGCTGCTTGTTGCTCCTGCTTGTTGCTCCTGCTTGTTGCTGCTTGTTGCTCTGCTTGTTGCTCTGCTGTTGCTTTGTTGTGTTGTTGCTCCTGCTTGTTGCTCCTGCTTGTTGTCTGCTTGTGCTCCTGCTTGTTGCTCCTGCTTGTTGCTCCTGCTTGTTGCTCCTGCTTGTTGCTGCTTGCTTTTTGCTTGTTGCTCCTGCTTGTTGCTCCTGCTTGTCTGCTTGTTGCTCGCTGGCTGCTGTTGCTCCTGCTTGTTGCTGCTTGTTGCTCCCGCTGTTCTGCTGTTGCTCCTGCTTGTTGCTGCTTGTTGCTCCTGCTTGTTGCCCTGCTTGTTGCTCTCTGTCTTGTTGCTGCTTGTTGCTCCTGCTTGTTGCTGCTTGTGCTCCTGCTTGTCCTGCTTGTTGCTCCTGCTTGTTGCTGCTTGTTGCTCCTGCTTGTTGCTCCTGCTTGTTGCTCCTGCTTGTTGCTGCTTGTTGCTCCTGCTTGTTGCTCCTGCTTGTTGCTCGCTGCTTGTTGCTCCTGCTTGTTGCTCCTGCTTGTTGCTCTTGTGCTGCTTGTTGCTTCCTGCTTGTTGCTGCTTGTTGCTCCTGCTTGTTGTGCTGTTGCTCTCTGCTGTTGCTCCTGCTTGTTGCTGCTTGTTGCTCCTGCTTGTTGCTCCTGCTTGTTGCTCCTGCTTGTTGCTCCTGCTTGTTGCTCCTGCTTGTTGCTCCTGCTTGTTGCTGCTTGTTGCTCCTGCTTGTTGCTGCTTGCTGCTGCTTGTTGCTCCTGCTTGTTGCTCCTGCTTGTTGCTCCTGCTTGTTGCTGCTTGTTGCTCCTGCTTGTTGCTGCTTGTTGCTCCTGCTTGTTGCTCCTGCTTGTTGCTCCTGCTTGTTGCTCCTGCTTGTTGCTCCTGCTTGTTGCTCCTGCTTGTTGCTCCTGCTTGTTGCTCCTGCTTGTTGCTCCTGCTTGTTGCTGCTTGTTGCTCCTGCTTGTTGATGTGCTCCTGCTTGTTGCTCCTGCTTGTTGCTGCTTGTTGCTCCCCTGCTTGTGCTTGCTTGCTGCTTTGTTGCTGCTTGTTGTTCTGCTTGTTGCTCCCTGCTTGTTGCTGCTTGTTGCTCCTGCTTGTTGTCCTGCTTGTTGCTTGCTTGTTCTGCTGCTTGTTGCTGCTGTGCTTGTTGTTGCTCCTGCTTGTTGTCTGCTTGTTTGCTCCTGCTTGTTGCTCCTGCTTGTTGCTGCTTGTTGCTCCTGCTTGTTGCTCCTGCTTGTTGCTCCTGCTTGTTGCTCCTGCTTGTTGCTGCTTGTTGCTCCTGCTTGTTGCTCCTGCTTGTTGCTGCTTGTTGCTCCTGCTTGTTGCTCCTGCTTGTTTTGTTGCTCCTGCTTGTTGCTCCTGCTTGTTGCTCCTGCTTTGTTGCTTGGCTTGTTGCTCCTGCTTGTTGCTGCTGCTTGTTGCTCCTGCTTGTTGCTCCTGCTTGTTGCTCCTGCTTGTTGCTCCTGCTTGTTGCTCCTGCTTGTTGCTGCTTGTTGCTCCTGCTTGTTGCTCCTGCTTGTTGCTCCTGCTTGTTGCTCCTGCTTGTTGCTCCTGCTTGTTGCTCCTGCTTGTTGCTCCTGCTTGTTGTCTTCCTGCTTGTTGCTCCTGCTTGTTGCTCCGCTTGTTGCTCTTTGTTGCTCCTGCTTGTTTGCTGCTTGTTGCTCTGCTTGTTGCCCTGCTTGTTGCTCCTGCTTGTTGCTCTGCTTGTTGCTCCTGCTTGTTGCTCCTGCTTGTTGCTCCTGCTTGTTGCTCCTGCTTGTTGCTCCTGCTTGTTGCTCCTGCTTGTTGCTCCTGCTTGTTGCTCCTGCTTGTTGCTGCTTGTTGCTCCTGCTTGTTGCTCCTGCTTGTTGCTGCTTGTTGCTCCTGCTTGTTGCTCCTGCTTGTTGCTGCTTGTGCTCTGCTTGTTGCTCCTGCTTGTTGCTCCTGTTGTCTGCTTGTTGTCTGCTTGTTGCTCCTGCTTGTTGCTCCCTTGTTCTCCTGCTTGTTGCTCCTGCGTTGTTGTCCTGCTTTTGTCTGGCTCCTGCTTGTTGCTTCTGCTTGTTGCTGCTTGTTGCTCCTGCTTGTTGCTCCTGCTTGTTGCTGCTTGTTGCTCCTGCTTGTTGCTCCTGCTTGTTGCTTGCTTGTTGCTCTGCTTGTTGCTCCTGCTTGTTGCTCCTGCTTGTTGCTCCTGCTTGTTGCTCTGCTTGTTGCTCCTGCTTGTTGCTCCTGCTTGTTGCTGCTTGTTGCTCCTGCTTGTTGCTCCTGCTTGTTGCTGCTTGTTGCTCCTGCTTGTTGCTCCTGCTTGTTGCTCCTGCTTGTTGCTCCTGCTTGTTGCTCCTGCTTGTTGCTCCTGCTTGTTGCCTTGTCTGTGTTGCCCTGCTTGTTGCTCCTGCTTGTTGCTCCTGCTTGTTGCTCCTGCTTGTTGCTCCTGCTTGTTGCTCCTGCTTGTTGCTCCTGCTTGTTGCTCCTGCTTGTTGCTCCTGCTTGTTGGCTCCTGCTTGTTGCTCTGCTTGTTGGCTTGTTCCTGCTTGTTGCTCTGCTTGTGCCCTTGTTGCTCCTGCTTGTTGCTCCTGCTTGTTGCTCCTGCTTGTTGCTCCTGCTTGCTGCTCCTGCTTGTTGCTCCTGCTTGTTGCTCCTGCTTGCTGCTCCTGCTTGTTGCTCCTGCTTGCTGCTCCTGCTTGTTGCTCCTGCTTGTTAGTGTCATACTACCAACAGTAGTAAAAACTAGACAACATTTCACTCTGTAAATATCTAAATAGAACTAACATTTCACTAGAAGTTTGTTCATTATTATATAATCACTGGGGAGCGCTAAACCCGTAGGATTATACAGTGCATGTGTGGGGGGATGGAAGGTATTCAGGCTCAATTCAGGGAACTGAAGCACAGATCCAATTCCCTAGATCAAGAGCCCCTCAGCAGCATCTAGGAACCTTTCTTGAGGGGAAATGTTTGTTCAGCAATGTTTCTTTTCTTTCGTTATTTTTGCTGAATAAATCAATATTGGGAATGCTGTACCTCACTGTTTATTAGTAACGCATGATATTCTCCTGTTCTGTGATTGTTTACCTGTTTCTTTAACAGGAAAAGGCATTTTGTATTAAGTTTCTCTTTTTTCCCACAGCAAAGACCTTTGACAAGATACCTGCCCGTGCGTAGTGAACAGCACTTTGACCTCAAACAACACATCGAGTCTGCTGGCCACCAGATTGAACTTTGCCCTTATATAGTAGTTTCTTCAACTGCGTGCCGAGGTTACCTTCACAAATTAGGGTCAAAGTTCCGCACATGGCAAAAGAGATGGTTTGTGTTCGACCGGTCAAAAAGGGCACTTATGTATTACAGCGATAAGAGTGAAAATAAGCCACGGGGCGGTGTATACTTCCAGGTAAGTAGTGTGTTTACTGTGTTATCGTATAGTCTCTTACCTTCTTGAATGACTCAGTGTGAGACATGTGTCTACATTATTACTATAAGTGGAATATGTTCACGAGGTTACATCTCCTTGATGAATATAAACATCTCTGTCAGATCCAGATATCCACAGTTGTAGATGCTGTATATTGTACACTACAGTACATTAATATTACAGTATTATTACAATACAGTACAATGCAGTTTGTGAAAATTCCATAGTGTATACAGCATTTCTGGCAAACTAAAACTACTTCACATTAAAAAATCACACCTGCAATGGCAGGTGTGATGGAACAGATATATACACAGTGGACCCTCAAGTTACAAAATAAATTCATTCCAGAAAACATATTCTATCTCAAAGCTATAGTAACTCAAACCCCAAAATACACGGTTTTCCAGTAATTCATTCCAAGATTTTGGTAGTGCAGCTTTTACTACAGCTTGGACTTGTATACTCAGACATAATTTGTAGTCACTGTATTTATCACAAGCATAACTTGTAGTCACTGTATCTGTCACAGACATAACTTGTAGTCACTGTATCTGTCACAGACATAACTTGTATCACAGACATAGCTTGTAGTCACTGTATCTCTCTCAGATATAACTTGCAGTCATTGTATCTCTCTCAGATATAACTTGCAGTCACTGTATCTCTCTCAGACATAACTTGCAGTCATTGTATCTCTCTCAGACATAACTTGCAGTCACTGTATCTCTCAGATATAACTTGCAGTCATTGTATCTCTCTCAGATATAACTTGCAGTCACTGTATCTCTCTCAGACATAACTTGCAGTCATTGTATCTCTCTCAGACATAACTTGCAGTTATTGTATCTCTCTCAGATATAACTTGCAGTCACTGTATATCACAGACATAACTTGATCACTGTATCTCAGACATAACAGTCACTGTATCTCTTTATCTGCTTCTCTCTTATCCACAGTAACAACAGTTTTTTATCTTGATAATTTTTCTGCTTTTTTTCACTAGCTTAAATTCATCAGTCACTTTAATATCTTTTACAATGTCATTTTGCCTGATAATTGCGGAAAGCCCTCTTCGTGCACCAATGCACTCATTCTAACTCCTGCGTCATGTTTTTTCGCAATTTCTTGTTTGATCTTCAGAGAAATTGCCTGTTTACTGCACATTTCAGCAGCCACAATGACTTGGTGATACAGAAAATGGCATAACTAAATAACAAATGCATATCATCTGTCAGATTTTTAATTGTAGCTTAAAGCTAAATGTTTTTGAGGGCATCTCGCAACTCAACATTATTATAACTCCAGCCCATCGTAACTCAACATTATCATAACTCCAGCCCATCGTAACTCAACATTATCATAACTCCAGCCCATCGTAACTCGAGGGACCACTGTATATAAGTTCTGATCACAGCTTTAATGAGAATAGGATTGATTAGTACAGTAAATGTGTACAAGTCAAAATTAATTGGATGAACAGAATGATAATACAGTGGAATGAAAAGTGATAATAATAATAATAATAATAATGTACTAAAGGTTAAAGAAGATAGTAAATAAATAAAGTTTAGAAGCAGAATTAGGGAGTGATAGGGATTTTTTTTTTTTTCAACAAACCGGCCATATCCCACCAAGGCGGGGTGGCCCAAAAAGAAAAACAAAAGTTTCTCTTTTCAAATTTAGTAATTTATACAGAAGGGGTTACTAGTCCCTTGCTCCCGGCATTTTAGTCGCCTCTTACAACATGCATGGCTTCCGGAGGAAGAATTCTGTTCCACTTCCCCATGGAGATAAGAGGAAATAAACAAGAATAAGAACTAGAAAGAAAATAGCAGAAAACCCAGAGGGGTGTGTATATATATGCTTGTACATGTATGTGTAGTGTGACCTAAGTGTAAGTAGAAGCAGCAAGATGTACCTGAAATGTTGCATGTTTGAGACAGAAAAAAGGACACCAGCAATCCTACCATCATGTAAAACAATTACAGGCTTCCGTTTTACACTCACTTGGCAGGATGGTAGTACCTCCCTGGGCGGTTGCTGTCTACCAACCTGCTACCTTGGAGTGATAGAGATATATGGTGTAAATAATGGCATAGCAGTAAATGTCATAGTTTGATATTAATGAAATTTGTTTTAGTGAATTATATACAATTGCAAGAGTAGACAATTTCAGCACATACTACTTTCATGTTAGTTTTTAAATTCATCTAATAAGTTATTCCATATTTTTAGCACTAATTTACACAGTTTCTTTATAGGTTTAAATGAACACTTAATGAAATGAAGGAGTTATTTGTATATAGTGTGATGATGTGTCTGCTGTTACAGTTTTCCAGCTGATGTCTTAAGTCAACATCAACATTGCATTATAATGCAATGTTCTAAAATTGTGAAGTAAACATTGGTAAGATTTAGGGACTTGAATTAAGACATTGTTGCCTATAATTAAGAGTTTGTTATTGTTCTCATAGGTAACTTTTATTAGGGGATGATTGGGTCAAAGTGGATTTCCAAATAGAAAAACCATAAGTAAGATGTGGGTAATTGAAGGAAACGTAGTGTTAGTATTGTATATTGAGTGTAATAGCAAATTTTAGAGTATCCCACAAGGCTTTTTTTTTGTGTGTGTATTAACATTCAGTGTGTTCTCCATGGTTAGACCTAGACATTTTTTTTCCTACTTTGGTTTCATTAGTTGTAATATCTAATCAGGGACCTTTTTTTTTTTTCTTTTCAAAAAACTTTATTTTGTCAGATTGATAGTTAAATTGTTTGCCATTATCAGGGTATGTTTATTAAGTATCCAGATGTATACACTTTTAGCTCATTATTAACTACAGTGCTTTAAAAACCAGGCAACAGGTGGGGCTTGAAGCCATGGCAACTTGAGTCCTAAAACTCTCAAGTCAGTGTGTTGACCACTTGATTGTATCTCTCAAGTGGTTAACACACTGCTCTTGGACTTTTAGTACTCACTTGCCATGGGGTTCAAGCCCCGCCCAATCTGTGACTTGTTTGCAATCATGTTATTTTGATTTCATGGGTTAGTGTTTAATGTTAAGGTATCTGAGCCTGTGAGACTATGACATGGCCATTGTGTGGCAGATTATCACTGCTTCTATCATGACCTGATATATGAAGCAGTGCACTACTACGCCACAAACCTGTTAATTTGAAGACTGTCGTTAGTACAGGTTTTTTCAAATATCTGGTATCATTTAGTAGGTCATTGATATAAACAAGAAAGAGAAAAGGGCTCAGAATGCTACTTTGGGGGCCACCAATATTCATTGGTAAGAGGATACTGTGTGTCATTTATGGTTACATGCTTATGTCTCTTAATGAGGTAAAACTGAAATTATTTTCATATATATTTTATTATTCTCAGGCTATTGAAGAAGTGTATGTGGATCATCTACATTCTGTCAAATCTCCAAACCCGAAACTGACCTTCTGTGTCAAAACTTACGAGCGAACGTTCCATTTGATGGCTCCCTCCCCAGAAGCTATGCGTATCTGGATAGACATCATCTTCACTGGAGCAGAAGGCTATCAAGAATTTCAAGGAGGAACCTGAGAATAAAGAATATTCTTTTCACAGAATGTACAGCTTCTCTTTAGTTTTATTGGGTGTCCACCAGGATGCTTAGTATTGTTCAATTTATGACAGGTATTATCATAGCAAAAACCTGAAATTCAAGTTAACGTGATTTGTGCCATTCTCTGGCAGACAGAGGTGATTGCCTTTTCAGGTCACAACACGTACTATTCAGTTATCAGATTTCTTTGCCAAATGAATTATATGGCTTCTCTTTCTTACTAATTGAGAAGAGATTCTTCTGTACAAGTGTACACAAGTCACAATACCTGAACCATGCCCACCAAACCATACTTTCACATAGAAACATTTACTGACAAGAGCTTGAATGAAAATATGTTTACAAATGTAAGAATTCTTTAAAATTGAAAAGGAACACTTGCTTGTGCCTTTACTATTTTACATGTAAAAGAATTTTAATTAGAATATATGCAAGTTAAAGTACAGTACCTAATGTATTTGCTGCTGTTTGATATATTACTGTAGTAAACAAGCCTTGAAATTTACTTGAAAGATGCCAGAGATTAACTACAGTATTTTTTATAATGGAAAACCATCTCTTTCTGGAGATATGTCAGTTCTTAATGCTTTTACAGTGTCCCTGTACTGTATTAAGTGTATTTTTAATTGATGTTTTGGTTTGGTCTCAGAGAGCTATGGCTGTCTGGTGCTACAGTCACATTTCATTAGAATTAAGTTTTTATAATGTTGAAGAGGATTAATCATTCACTGAAGCAGCAAACCTGTAGGGATCATGCAATGCCTGCGGGAGTGAGAGGTAATTAGGCTTGATCCAAGAAAGGGGAGGGCAGCTCTAATTCCTTCAATATCAAGACCCCTCTTGATGTGAAAAAGAGGCGCATGTTTGTAATCGAGCATGTTGGTCGCGTAGACGACACAAACAAACGAGTTATCCCTGTATTTATTTTGTAAAGGATGCTCATTGACTAGGACATTTTTAGGTATATACACTGTAGGTTTAGTAACTTAAGAATTTTTATGTATGGCAGGTTAAGTAATGCATAGGTGAATGTTGAGCAATATTGAATACTGTCAGAATTTTTAAAGATCAACAAATATTTGTAATAGCAGGAGCTGGGAATGTCCAGCTCTATTTTAAACATATTTGCTTCATTTCTGTAAAGGAACGCACTTGCTAAAAATTACTGCAAGCATTTGCAACCTTCATATTGTAACTGGCCCCTGAAAGGTACTTTAATGCAGGTGACACATAGGGGTCATGCAATGCCTGGGGAAATGGAAGCAAATGAGATTCAAGAAAGAGGACGGGCAGTAGCACCAGGTCTCTGGATCAAAAGATTTTCACCAGCATCAAAGCGCCTACCTGGAAGGGTCCTTATCTAAGGAACTGAAACTATCTTCCCCACCCTTCAGCAACCCTGATTAACTCAAAATCCTTAGGTGCTATATAACCCCCCCCCTATGGGTTTAGCACTTCCCCTTGATTGCATGTGGGAAGTGCTGAACATATAGATGTCACAAGGCACCTGGGGAATGGCTTGACACATGGTAAGGGAGGGTAGCATCAATTCTTTGGATCAAGAGTTCTTCACCTTGGTGGACTCTTGAAGTGTTCAAATCATTTGCTTAATAGAAATGCTTGACGGCAATATTTTATATCCTGTATGCTTTACTCTAACCAATTGATGTACTGAGGTTCATGCACACATGAAGACAAGCCATCAGGACTTTGTAACTTCAATATAAACATATTTTTATGATGTGAATTGTATATTTATTTACACCTTTGAGCTGTATAGCCCTTGTGGCTTAATTTACACCTTTGACAAAGTATCTTATTTCTGTGTATTAACAGAAATTGAAGAGTTACATTTTGAGGCTGTAGAAAATGGGAAGTTTTCCAGATATAATTTCATGGGAAATATATTAAAATCTGAAAGTAGGAGTGAAATTCCCATAGTTATTTCAGGCTAATCATAGAAAATGGTATGCTAATAAATTTCCCACTTTCTATGATGAGCCTTAAATAACTGGGAATTTCACTCCTTTCAGTGATCAAAAAAAAAAAAAAATCCCATTTTCTATGAACCTTAAATAACTCTATGGGGTTTCACTCCTACTTTCAGTGGGCAAAAAAAAAAAAATCCCATTTTCTATGATGAGCCTTAAATAACTCTCTGGGAATTTCACTCCTGCTTTCAGAAGTTAAAAAGTTTCCCATTTTCTATGATGTCTTAAAATAACTCTATGGGAATTTCACTCCTACTTTGAGATTAAAAAAAATTCCCATTTTCTATGATGAGCCTTAAATAACTCTCTGGGAATTTCACTCCTGCTTTGAGCAGTCAAAAAAAAAAAATCCCCATTTTCTATGATGTCTTAAAATAACTCTATGGGAATTTCACTCCTGCTTTCAGAGATTAAAAATTTCCCATTTTCTATGATGAGCCTTAAATAACTCTCTGGGAATTTCACTCCTGCTTTCAGCAGTCAAATTTTTTTTCCCATTTTCTACAATGTCTTAAAATAACTCTATGGGAATTTCACTCCTACTTTCAGAGATTAAAAATTTCCCATTTTCTATGATGAGTTAAATAACTCTATGGGAATTTCACTCCTATTTTCAGATTAAAAATTTCCCATTTTCTATGATGAGCCTTAAATAACTCTCTGGGAATTTCACTCCTGCTTTCAGCAGTCAAATTTTTTTTCCCATTTTCTACAATGTCTTAAAATAACTCTATGGGAATTTCACTCCTACTTTCAGAGATTAAAAATTTCCCATTTTCTATGATGAGCCTTAAATAACTCTGGGAATTTCACTCCTACTTTCAGAGATTAAAAATTTCCCATTTTCTATGAGCCTTAAATAACTATGGGAATTTCACTCCTACTTTCTCTTAAATAACTCTATGGGATTTTCACTCCTACTTTGAGGTTAATAGAAAGTGGAGAGAAATTCCATTATGCAAAACTTTTTTTTTTTAGAGGAAAATGTAGAGATTTGAAGGAAAATAAAATACTTTACTAAATTATCATTTCTAATGAGGGAAGCGCTAAACCCCTAAGGGTCACATAGCATAAAATTAGCACAATTTGAATGGGTCATATATCCATCCCCCATGGGACGGAAATCTTCAGCTCAAATACTTCCACACATCTCCATGCATTATGAACTCTGAAATGTTTCAATGTAGCAATTTATTTATATATAGAAAGATCACAGCAGTACTTGATACTGCTATTGGGGATGATCAAGATTCCCAGGCAGTGCTCTTATCCACTCACCCATATAAGCTGGGCAGCTTGGTTCACAAGCCATGTTTCTTTCCCAGCCCGGGCACGTAGGTGAGCCTCAAACACGGATTCAAGCTATTTCAATCTCCTATATGTTCTGACTTTTCAAGCGATTTTTATATCAATGCACCACGCAGAAACAAGCGGTGGTGCTTTGACAAAAATCGCTTGAGAGGTCAGAACATACAGGAGGAGATTGAAATAGCTTGAATCCACTGTTTGAGGCTCAATGACGTGCCCAGGCTGGGAAAGAGACATGACTTGTAAACCAGGCTGCCCAGCTTATGTGGTATTGGTGACTGAGTGGATAAGAGCGCTGCCTGGGAATCTTGACCGTCCCCAGTAGCAGTATCAAGTACTGCTGTGATCTTTCTCCATATATATATATATATATATATATGGAGATTATATATATATATATATATAACCTTTTTCTACAAACAAAAGTTCAAATTATTTGGAGCACTAGCAGAGATGTGGAGATCAATGCCATAACAATGTTCAAAATTTACAAACCTTAGGATTTTAATAATCATTCATGTTAAATGTATTTCTCTATTAGGTGAATGATGGATAATACTGTAAGTTAATGCCGTGTTAGTCAACAATAAATAATTCTAAAAAGAAAAGTGTAGTGCATTATGTATAGGACTATATGAACACTGATTAAGCACCAAGTTAAGGTACACTTGATTTTGAAATATTTCAGAAAATCTGAACTCTATACAATGTGCAGAGACATACAAATTTGTGCCTATATAATGTACAAAGGCATATAAACTACCCTAGGTATATAATATGTATCAACAAGTGAAATATAATCCCCACACTTTAAGAACACTTGAACTCTCATCTTAACTGCGTAAGGACATATAAACTCGTAACAAAAAAGCAATACAAGATAGAGTAGACAGACAGGCCCCACTTTCGCCCACACGTTGTCAATAAAGGATCACATTAAACTGCATATGTGTTTATGTTTCCATAGTGTAAACATATCAGGTTTTTATATGCATTTGAAAGTGAAAAAAGGCTACATCTCAATTTACAGTGTTAGGTCAGAACCTAACCTGTATAAATGGAGCTGGCCTGTATACACCAGTATAGTGGTACCCCAAGCTTCGAACAGTTATGTAATTGTAATTAATTTAAGTGATTTTTTAAGTGTATTTTTGGGGGTCTGATATGGACTAATCTAAAATACGTTATTCCTTATGGGAACAAATTTGTTCGTTAACAGCCCTCGAACAGCCTTCTGGAATGAATTCGTACAAAACTTGAGGTACCACTGTACTAATGATCTCTGACCATCAAAATAATACACAATATATATACACTAGTACTAATGATCTCTGACCAAAATAATACATGCTATAGTTATATACACTAGTACTAACGATCTCTGCCCATGAAAGTAATACATGATATAGTTATATACACTAGTACTAATGATCTCTGACCATCAAAGCAGAATGAAAAATCTATATGTCAAGATGTGTAAACTCTCCCATAAATTAATACAAGGCAATTTTTTATTACCATTTCTGAATTTTACCTTCTTTAATAAATTAGTATAGCAGAGAGGCAAGAAAAACTGGCTGAGATACACTTTACAAAGCTACGAGTCAAAAGGTTCCGCAGGCAACACCATTCACGATGCATCATAGTACAGGTATGTATCCTACTATTTTGTTGAGATTTTATTAATATTCCTTGACAATGTTCTGGAAGCAGAAATTTATATATATAACATGACATGATAGAAAATTCTGGAGACTAAAACTGTCAAAAAGAAGTCTTACAGTTGAACAATATGAATAAATTGATGTAAGTAAATTTAGGTACAGGTACACACAAGTACAATTATAATAAAAAACAAGCACTAAATCCACAAGGGGTCACAATTATCATACATCGTAGCATATGTAAATTACCCTCTAGGATAACCCCAAGTCTGACAAAATGACTTATTCCTGTGAATTTATTTTGGCTCAGGCAGCTACCAGAATTATCCTCACATGTCAACACATTTACTTTCCATTATAAAAATCCTATAATTTGATATTTGCACAAGATATTCTCTTTGATTTCTTGCCAATACATTAAAATTACATTGTAACTTGAAGATACATTTGGCATTCCCAGTGCTAAAAATGATGTAGAATCACCTAAAGACTGCACAGAAATTACAATTTTCAATAAAATTGTATTTATCGACCAACTCAGTGAACGAGCCCCCATTGCAATGATGTTGGGGTTTTAATTAAGAGCTGCTAACAGTCTATGCCATATAAGAGCCCTACTTCTTGGTGCCCAAAAATAGATTTAATTTCTTGGTGGATGCTAAACTAGTATTGGGAATGGGAAGCAAAAAGATTTGATCCAAGGGAAGAGATGGTAGCTTCAATTCTCTGGATCAAGCCTCCTTGAAGGGGCCCAGGAAGGAAATATTGCCTCAATCTAAGAAACAAAAATGGGACAAGTATCCCTATAAATGAGGGGAACAAGCATTCCCAATTAAGTCCGATGGACCTCTTGCTGAAGCCCTGATAAAGCCAGATATTTACACACAAAGTCAATAACTGGCTTCCTCCTACATCAACACAAGTATCAACGTGGAAAATGTAAGCTATTGTACTGTGCCTTGACTACTGATGACTTTAGAAGACAAAAAAAAATCTGAAGACAAACATCCCAAAAAGGATAAGAAGGAAATTTGATATCAATTTTTGGGGCAGTGAAGAATAATGTACAATGGAATCAAAGCAACATACATTAAGCTCAGCCTCCAGAAGACAGGTCCAAAATTTATCTCAGGAAAATCACTGCCCAATATTCCCACTGTACAGTGGTACCTCAGGATATGAACAGCTCAAAACTCGAACAATTATATAAGTGTATTTATGTAAGTGCTTTTGTAAGTGTATTTTTGGGGGTCTGAAATGGATTAATCTAATTTACATTATTCCTTATGGGAACAAATTTGTTTGGTATCAGCATTCGAGCAGCCTTCTGGAACAAATTAAGTTCGTATCCCGAGGTACCCTGAACAAACAATTTATTCCTGTATCTTTGAATACTTTACATCTATTTACTAATAAATATTTACGAACATAACCATTCAATTTAAATTTATAAATTTTACCATTACCGTGCATATAGCTTTTGGTAGCATTGTAAAATTATAAATATCCATGACGCCAGAGGCATCATGGATATTTACAATTTTAGTTCACCATACCTCAGTGAGAGACGGCCAGTGTGTTAAAAAAATAAGTACAAGTTGTCGTTAACCCCTTTAAGTGTCCAGAACCCCAATATGAAGTGTCCACAGTGTCCAAGAATTTAAAAAAAAAAAAAAAAAAAAAAAAGAAAATCCCATGAAATGGTAGAGAATTTTTTTCTGATGGTAATAAAACAAAAAGTATAAAATTTGATGGAAAATTTACGAAATTATGTTTTCGCAAAT